GATCCATATTTGTACCCATTCCACAGAATGTGGAAATTATCAAACAATATCATTAATATCACACACAAGTAAAACCTTACTGAAGATAATTCAAAAATGGTTGCAGCAGTATATTGATAGAGAACTTTCAGAAGTGCAAGCTGTATTCAGAAGAGGATGTGAAACGAGGGATATCATTTGTTCTGGTTACCTAGTGCCGCTCCAATAGGAATATACCACAAATAGGATGGCCTTAACAAACATGAATTTATTCTTACAATTTGGAGGCTTTAAGTCTGAGTTCAAAGTGCCAGGCTTAGGGGCTGGGTGAAAGCCCCTCAGCCTTGGGCTTCAGCTCTGCCCCCAGCTCCCAGCCCACTGAAGCTGGAGGCTTTTCTTCACTCAGCTACTGGCTGCTGATGCTGCCAAGCCCAAGGCTGACAAGTAAAAAGGCACAGTCCCAATGTTACCAAACCACATGGCAGGCCATTAATTCAAGTCCACTGTAAGTCCCAAGGTCAGCAGAGCACAGCAGGCTGCTGAATGACAACATGGCTACATGCAGGGTTCAAGGTGCCATAGGCTAGAGACCATTCCCACGGCTTCTCCTTATATTCAGGAAGCAGACCACATCCCAAAAGCAGCTACTCGGCTGCTTATGATAGATCTCACCATGGAGTTGATTGCCAGTCTCATCATGGGGAATAACTACCACAAGCTGCCCAGCCACTCAACCAGGCCCAGCCAAGTTGAGATACAAATTTAAATATTGTACCACACTTACCCAGAAGTCCATTTAAGACTGCAACCATTAAATGGGAGTGGTTTTTATTCTCAATTTAAGGTGGAAGCACCATCATAGTGGCTGAAGCACTGGGAATGAAAGATATCCATGGCAGCCTACATGGAATTTGTCACCATATCTGTGGCCTCAAGCAAATCCAAGTAAACCTGAGGACCACTAAAATTTTAAATGGCTTAAACAATAAGGGTATTTACATCTCAAATAACAGAACTCTGGATGTAGTGTGATTCCAAGGCTGGTTAATTCAGTAGCTCACTGATGCTAGCAAGGATCAGGTTCCTTCCATCTTTCCACCCAGTTGGCTGTTCTTATTAGGCTACTTCTCCTCAAAGTCTCAAAATGGTTGCCACAGTTCTGGGTATCCCATGCAGAAGGCAATACCCAGAGGTATAAAGTACTTCATCTCTGCCCTAGGGCAATTTTTTTTTTTTTTT